CACACACACACACACACACACACACACACACACACACACACACACGCTGAACACCGGAGCTTTCTGTCTTCGTCACAGTCTTCAATCGATATCCACTTATCTGCTGTTAAGAGACGAACGCTTGGTTTCCTCCTGAGGATTCAGCCTCCAGGTGATTCTAATACGCTGACACACAGTGTTCTGTGCTGACGTTTGATATTCTGACCTGAAGTCACAGTTTTAAATCGTATAATGGTGGAAAAAGGGCATCTTAAAAGGTATTAGCACACAAACTGGGACGTGGACTTTGGACGTTTGCGACAAACACGGTGTGTAAAGTTACTACGAGGAACCGTTATCCCTGTGGACTAAAGCTGTAGTGTCTCTGAGCACCAGAGTCCCTTTAGAAAAGCTCTCATTGTACTGCAGCAGGGTCTGACAGTCTGCCCCTCTCAGTGCTGGTTCTTCTTATTTGAATATGAAGCTACTGTCTCACACATGTATCAGCCTTCCTGTATCTGTATTCTAGTCTCTGTGGTGTGTCAGTGAGAGGGTTTAGATCATCAGAGCGAACTGTGATTCTTTGAAACGAGCGAGAGGATCGGTCAAAGTCACCTTTCATCCTTTTGATGAAGTCTCTGTCATCCGACCCGATGTCCTCCCGATGCCTCTTCTGACAGCCGCCTGCAGAGCGCAAACAAACACGCCGATCACCTCAACACACTAGAACCATTATCTTTAGAGAGAAGAGCAGAAGTACAGAGCACACACCTTCTAACAGCCTCGGTGAGGGCTTGCTGGAGGGAAGAGGATCCATATTCAAGACCTTGTAGAGCTGTCCAAAGGCTAGGAGGCGTAACGCATGCTGAAAACACACACACACACACACACACACACACACACACACACACACACACACACACACACACACACACACACACACACACACACACCAGACAGAAGGACACATCACCGTACTGGTAAAGCAACAGGAGATATCATTTATTCTCCGATCAATGCGGTTTAATTATCGGGGAAAAACTTGTGTGAGCCGTCGTGACGTTTGTGTAAACCAGCTAATTCTGTTGGGGAGAAAACTTTATTTATAGATGACACAAAAAACACACTCACAAGTGAAAAGGAAGGAATGAAAGATAAATATTCCCAGAGAGAGAGAGTGAGTGAGAGAGACATAGAGAGAGAGAGAGGGGAGGAAAATATGATAATATGAGGATGTCTTTATGTTTCTCAGCGCTGATCTTCCACCTCAGGGCAGACTTTGTTGTTCCATGTGTGGAAGTAGTAATAGCATGCTGGTGTTAGTGGGGGGTGTGTGTGTGTTCCCACGCTCATTATGAGGCTAATTAGGCTGCCGGTCGGTCAAGGCCACGCTGCACCGAGGGGGGGGGGGCTTCTTATCCGAGGTCCTGGTTTCTGTGGATATTCATAGCGCTGACGTGAGGTGTTTGAATAACCTCCTCCATCTAAAGCACTGTCGTCTTTTTTTTCCTGGAACAAACGCTGACTTCGGTGCGTTAAAGTGATGTTTTCAAGGTCTCACGAGTCGCTCGGCTGAGGCTAACGATGGAGCTCGGTTAAGTGAGCGGCTGCTTTTATATCGCAGGGAAACAGGAAGGGAGGTTTTATAATGCTCGGGGGAGGAGGGGGAGGGGGGAGGCTAAAGTCTGAACACATCTGTGGCTTTACATCCAGAGTTTTGAATTCACAATTTAAAGAGTGAACCTCTCTGGGAAGCTCCAGTTTTCATGTTTTTTTCACGTGTTAAAGCTGCATTCTCTCTAGTGTCCACCAGGGGGCGACTCCTCTGGTTGTATAGAAGTCTATGAGAAAATGACTCTACTTCTCTCTTGATTTATTACCTCAGTAAACATTGTAAACATGAGTTTATGGTCTCAATCTCTAGTTTCAAGTCTTCTTCAACACAGCATGATGTTCATTTAGTACATTATGGTCCATTTAGAGTCACACAGACCATAAAGCAGGGGATGCTTTAGGGCGGGGCTACACAGTGATTGACAGGTCTCTACCAGAGACGTATACGGCGTCTCTACGTAATATGGTCACTTCCTGTTTAGTGGTTGTAGAAAACCAAGATGGCGACGGCTGAAATGCAGAACTCACGTCGTACCAAACAGATACATTCATTTGTTAAATGCCTCGTTGCCTCGACTCTTCTCTCCTCACGTCTCTCCCCCGCTTCCTCCTGCTCACATCTCCTATTAAGATGCAAGGAGAGGAGGCAAGGAAAGTAATCGAGGATTGTACAAACATGCGGCGTCCTGACAGCAGCAGAAGGGGCTGATGGGTAAAGAGGACCGACCTGCGCGCTGTGCGTGATGGCGTCGGCCTGCCGGGCACCGAGGTCGGACAGGACGTCGGTGGGTTCCCTCTCACAGGGGTCGTGAACTCCTGGACCTCCTGGACAGGAAAAACACAAAACAGGTTCTGACTCAGTCCGGAGAAGATCTCCAAACAGGCAACACAGTTCCACTTCTCCTGACGGGAAAACACACACACACACACACACACACACACACACACACACACACACACACAGATAATTGACCAAGTCCCTGCTGAGTGTGCACTCCGCATGCAGCAGTAACTCATCAATGATTCAGAGCATCCAGGGAACGAGCTGCCACTTCAACGCTGAGGAGGGGAACCCTGGACCACCATTAAGAAACCCAATCACGTCGCCACAAGAGAAGAAAGAACAACTGAATATGAAACATTCTCACTCAAAAGGAGAAATGTTTACACGACGTAGAAGGGAGAGTAAATCTTTCTGAAATACTCCACCGCCAACTCTCACTGAAGGAAACACGAGTAATAGTTCAATTACACCATCGTTAACGCTGATGTGGATCCACTGGGACTCTCTCGGGGAGCCCTGAGGGAATCTGCACCATAACTAATGCACTGTAGACCTCTACAAGACCGAGTGCAGGTGAGACCTCACTGCATCTGTGGAGACAGTCCACAGTCCAGCTCATGAATCCTAAAACACGTTGATTTAAAGACGCTTCTAAATGTTTCTCTCCTAAATGCTTCTTAGTTTATTTGCCGGCTTACTTTTAAAACCTTGTTTTCAGTTCCTGAGCTGATTTATTTTATTAAAAACATCACACTCAGGGTGTATATTTGTTATGAGAGTACCGAACAGTGTGGAGAGAAAGTGGATCAGACGGCAGAGGCTCCTGATGCACAAGCTGGAGATTCTGTTTTGTATTCTGTAAAAACGGCCCAGAATGCAACATTCACTGCGTCTTTACAGCTTGGACTTTTTCCAAATGTTATCAGAAAAAAAATGGAAGTGGTTGGAACACCAATAACTAGTAACACTAACAATGTCAATATATTATGTACACAAGAAATGTGCTCAAGTAAACACATTTAAAGGGGAATTAAATCATAACAACGTACAACGTAACATCTTATCAAAGGGCGTTTTCACTTGGAGCCATTTTGACCTACAAGCTTGTTATTTTTACACAATATTAGCTTTATTTTCAAACGTTACTCTTATTTTAACTGCAACATAAAATGTTACATGACACAACAATCACCGTGGAAGACTACGGTAAGCTAAAATTGCTAGCTATAACGTTATTATCGTAGCATAAAGTGAGCTGGTTAGATAACTATTACAATTCATCCTCTGGGGAACATGAATGTCTGAACCACATTTCATGGCAATCCACTGGATAGTATCGATAATTTCATTTAAATCCTTACATTTTAATCTCACGGGGGCGCTAGAGGAAGAAACAGAGGATCACCAAAGTCAGCATGATTCATCCTCTGGGGAACATGAATGTCTGAACTTCATGCCAATCCATCCAATAGCTGTTGAGATATTTCAGTCTGCACCAAAGACTCCAGACGTACTCATTTAAATTCAATAACACATTTTCTGGGACCACGCTGCTCTTCAAGTGTCGTTGCTGATTTTAATTTCAGTGTCAAACTTCTTCATTTCATTGGGCTGCTCCCTGAGCGGAGAGGCTGATAACTGGATGCATTCACTGCGGTCGTCTCTCCACCACTGACGGCTCACATATATTAATATCTGAGAGATTAAAACTGTTGAATGTCTCAACCAGAGGGTGTAATATATGCTGCTGCCTACATTAGGAGATACAATCGCATATAAAACCGGACTCAACGTTCTGCCACCAGAACAACAATCTGTGTTAATGCTTCCTTTTCTCATGAGCCCTTTGTTAATGGACAATACCGTAAAATACTCCTTTCCTCGAGTCAGAACAGCCTCTCCTCAATGACTCATCCAGAACAAAATCATCTGCTCAAATCTGACTGCTGGCTTGTTTTTCCACGCTAAGCACAGACACGACAGACGTTTTACTGATTTGAATTACTTACCAGGAACTTCTGTCTCTTTTTACTTTTGCTCGGATTCACGACTGAATAAGTTACAAACCATTTAGCCCGATATCTGTTTGTATCTTTCTAGAAACTCTGCAGCTAACGGAGCTCTGAGGAGGCGGAGCAGGACCGGTCACTGACCTGGCAGCAGGATCCCCGAGGCGATGCACTCCATGATGCGACGCAGGGCCTCACCGGGACCCAGCGGACGGTTACAGGTGGCGATGGCCTTCTCACAGATCAGCTCCAGAGGCTGCAGAGGACGGACAGACAGGGGAGGACACTCAACACACAAGTCCTGAGTCTGGTCCTGGGACACTAAGCTTGCTCCACCTACCCATCCTTTGAGAGGCTGCCACTCGGCCAGTCTGTTGCACACGTCCCTGAAAATCCTCAAGACGATGACGCAAGACTTGAGGTCTGTGACTCTGGCCTGAGGAGGACAGACGGACGGACAGAGAGACAGAACTTAGTGACAGCAGTCAGCAGACTCTACAGAAACCTGGGTCCATGAGACTCCATGAGATCTGCAAAGAGGCGTCTTCGTGACCCCTGAAATCTCAACATGCTACTAATACCACTGCTGAGTACCAACAGCAGCCATGTTTGTTATTTACGTTCATCACGATCATTTTGGGGGCGTGGCTTCAGGAGGGACGGGCCGAAAAAACGCTATAAACCAACCACCACAACGACGAGGAGGGATTTTAAATATCTTTAAACTCATATCTCATATTCATGGAACACTTTATTACCTTTATACAAGAAGGAAGTCAAGTTTTAAAAGCATTTAAATAGAAACAAAGGTTGAATATTGTGTAAACTATTTGAGTTTGATTGAAAAATATGAACTCAAATGTAGATATTCAAGACCTCCTGCGTCTAAAGCATCTAAAAACTAACTGTCCTTCTTTGTTTGATCCCCAAACATGATATCAGGGTTAAAATCACTGAACTATTTGTCACGTGATCGCGTGCGGCGCGAGTATAAACTCAGCTCAAGTCCTCTTCCCCCTGCACTCAGCTGTGAAATGCTGAAAGTAGATTTCCGTGTCCAGCGCCCTGGACATTTATTATAGTTCTGTTAATCCTCAGAGTCGTTAAAATGGTCTTTATTTAAAGCCGTGACAGTAATAACAGACGGTCGACCTCATCACATTAAACATACATGGAATAGTTCCAAGGAAGAGCTGGAGGAGAAGAAGAGCAACCGAAGATTATCACGTTTAAATCCAAACTTAATAATGCTGCAGATTGTTGACGCTTCATTTTGCACAGAGCGACTATTCCGCACGTTAAAGTCTGTGATTCAATCCTCTCATTCAGAGCTCAGCGACGCTGTGGAGGAGGAGAACCACCGCTGATGGTCTCTGCAGTGATTACAAGGAGGAGGTCCTCGGGTCAGATCGGTCCTGTCTGCACTGACTGCACTGCTTCAACCTTCGGTCCACGCTGCAGACACTCACTCTGATATCACTTGGCATCCAGCTCTCCTCCCCTCCTCCTCCTCTTCCCCCCCCCCCCCCCCCCCCGAGGGAAGCTGCTCGGGCTTCACCTGACCTTCACTCATCTGCCTCCTCCAGCTGAGGAGCGACGCTCAGTTCATCTGAAACTCCATTTGGTTCAGAGTGCTATCCTGACCTTCAGAGTGACTTCCCACTCTGCCGAGTTCTTCCTCTGCCGGTCAGGCAGCACGTCTGCAGCCGACACGGCAAGTCTACAAACAAATGTGGAGCAAATGTGAGCAGAATTTGCCCCAATAATTGAAGCACGTTTTCCATCCACGTCTGTTCTGTGACTATCAGGAGTTTAGTGCATTGAAGTGAACATGCAGGTGATATTAAACCAGAGGGTTGTGTTTCAATGTGAGGAAGGTTGAAGTCTCCTCATCGCTCCTCACAGATCTGATGTTTTTATGGAAGTCATCATTTATTCATCAACTCTGGTTTACATTTTGTTGCATTTAGTCTTTTCCTCCGATGTGCATAAAAGAGGAGGATGGAACACACTTAACATACGTTATACCTGTTTATAGTACTGATATGTGTTTGCGCACTACATTTTATATTTTACTGTACATCTTAATATGTTTCTATTGTTTGCACTGTGTTGATTGTTTAATGTTAAGCACCTCCCACCAAGTCAAACTCCTTATACGTGCAAGATATTATTATTGTGCCTTCCCTTAATAACTCAGCTTTACTCGAACTTTACCAAAACATACAAAATAAATATAATAAAGAACCACGACATCATAAAGAGTAAAGTAGACAAAAACAAACAAACAAACAGATGAATCGTCATTTCTGAGTGTTGAACAAAATAAAATACAATAAAAATGCACAAATACAAATCAATGGAATGACACTTAACGCACTATTACATGTTTACTGTCAAATACAGAAATGGAGGAATAGTGATTGATGACAGTAGCGAACAGTTCAGTTCACTTTATTCATATTAGTATTACAATGTTTATGAGTGAGCCAATCACTGTGAAACAGCTGCTTCATCTCGTGTCTTCATCACGTTCCACTACAGAACATTCCATTTGCCGTCTCGGCATTAAAGCCCACAAATGTAATAATCAGAGACGGGGATGAAATATTCTGTCACCAGCAACCAGCTGTTCTCACCTGGAACCATTTGGCGTGTCGGAGCGCCGCCAGCGCCGCCCGGCACTTCTTCCTGTCCAGGACGTCCTCCTCTTCCTCCTTGTCCACCTCCTCTTCTTCCTTGTCCTCGTCCCGACGGCCCTCCTCTGGAGAGACAGGACAGGATGAGACAGGAGTGTGACCATACTGACCTCCCACAGTCAAAAACACACACACACACACACACACACACACACACAGACGTATAGACGTATGGAGCAGACGTATATAGTGTGTGTGTGTGTGTTTGGGGGGGGTGGTCTGGCTCACGATGCAGATTAGTGGCTGCAGGACGAAAATGAGAGCATGGTGACGCCTCGGGACCAAAAAAAAGATTAAAGATTAAAATAACACGTTAGAGGACAGAAGGTGAGAAATTGTGGGACGTTCAAGCAGATGGACCACATGTGTGTGTGTGAGGGGGGGGGGGCAGACCACACTGGTGAGCGCTCACCAGGATCTAAGATCACGTTATCTTTATTCTTCAGATATTAAATCTTGATAAATGTGCCATCGCTGTGGAATCAGAGCCATTAGGTTCAGAGAGGAGATTAAATCACGGCTACTGTCTCCGGAGCCGACAGTAACGCTGACGCAGAGCGTTTCAAACAGGCTCCACTTCGTAGAGGCGGAGTCTCTAATTTCGGATATGCGCAGTATTTAAATCGCAATTCATCCGTCTGCGTGTGATTCATGGTCCGTAACGTGAGCGCAGCAGCGAGGCACTCAGCAGTCCTCCTGATGTCCAAGCTCCTCACCCTCTCTCTAAGGCTCTCTCTTCGAGCTCCTCACCCTCTCTCTCTAAGGCTGAGCCCGAGCTCCTCACCCTACGGAGGAAACTCATTTCAGCTGCTTGTAGCCGCGACCTCGTTCTTTCGGTCACGACCCAGAGTGCGTGACCGTAGGTGAGGGTCGGAACGGAGACCGACCGGTAAACTCTTCACCAAGACGGTCCGGACATTCACTTAAACTGATATTGATTCTTTTAGGTGTCTGAAATACGTCCACAGCAGAACATTGCTTTGCTGGTTCTCCAAACTCCATCTGCTGTAGTAAAGCACAGACTGTGTAGAAGAACCTCACACAACCACACATCTAAACATCACCACTGGCCCTTTAAAATATACCTGACGTTGGTTTTCTAACACCAAAATCAACAACTTCCACATTCAGATGCAGGAAGTCAAGAGGACACCTGAGAGAGACGTCTCCAATTTCTGCCCAATTCCCCCCCCGCGGACATCATCCTTCACCAGCCATCTGCTTTTTCCACCACACTTGACCCAGATCCATATCATCCCTCCTGATCTGCTCTCAGCTTTCAGCTCCTCTCTCTCTCTCTCTCTCTCTCTCTCTCTCTCTCTCTCTCTCTCTCTCTCTCTCGCTCTCTCTCTCTCTCTCTCTCTCCCTCTCTCTCTCTCTCTCTCTCTCTCTCTCTCTCCCTCTCTCTCTCTCTCTCTCTCTCTCTCTCTCTCTCTCTCTCTCTCATGCAGCTCAGGTGTCTCACATCCTCTCAGCCCTCTGCTGTCACACAGAGGTCAAATAAAAAGCATCCTCCCAAACAGGAAGCACAGGACGGACGGACGGGGGGAGTCAGTACCTTCCTCCGTGGTGCCGCGTTCCTCCCTCATGGTTAGGGAGGAGAGGGTGATCTTCAGAGTGAGTCGGGGGTCTTTGGTGCTGCAGACCCGGATGGACGCCTCGGGGACGCACGACTGCACCTCGTATTTGTCCTCCGTCATCGTCTGCAACACAGGGACGCACCATTGATTCAAAATATATCGAATATATCACAGAGGAAACACTAAAATAAATTTCTGTAACACCAAACAGGAAACGGAAACAAACTGTTTCCTGTTTGGTGTTTGTTGTAATTGCCAGCCACTTCCCAGCATGCCAAACTATCTTGTTTTGTATTGGTGTCGCCTTCAGTGGCATCTTTTAAAGTGGATTCTCTGTATCTCGTCTCTGTGGAGAGATGATCCGTGAGCCCTCCTCCGCCTGTCAATCACAGTCTGGACCAGGAAATGAGCCTCAAACGGTTTCCTCCATTCACGATTCATTAAACCGAGACGTGTACGACGTTAGCGGGGACGACATCTGAAGGGTGAATTATTCTATAGTTCAGGAGCTCAACTGAAATAAGAAGTCGGAGCTGTAGAGAGTCGGGCTCAGTGGTCAGAGGTTTATCCTGCAGTCTGAGCTTCAGACATCTGAAGATAAATCAAGTCTCAGGACACTTCCTCTTACATCATTTACACTTCAGACCATCTCTCTGTAGCTCCTACCGACGTTAAATAATCCTTTTATCTGGCGAGAGAATAAGAAATGTACGTGAGGCGTCATTGTTCTGGGGACAGGAGGATGTTCTGCTGTCACACAAACTCCTTTCAGAAGTCATTTTTTATTCATCTTTATGATTTGCAGTGTGTTGAAGTATTAAAACAACATATTTGTGTGTGCAGCGGTTTCATGGGAGGTGTAATAGAAAGCAGCGCTGGTATTTCCTGCGATGGTTTTTAATTACTGAAGTTAATCCGCCGCTGATCTCGCAGCAGATTTGACTGTATAATGAGCGTCACATGAAGACTCTGATCCAACGCTGACTGAGTGAGTTAATGAGCAGCAGACTGAGAAGATTACGGGTTGAGACCGTAAAACATACCAACGCGCCTCAATGTTTGAGTCGGACTCGGTTGAGTGGATCCTTTTGTGACTCTGGTTCATGTTTAATATTATAATATATTGATAGTTGTTGTGTACTTTTACATTCTTAGAAAGCTAAATATTAAATACTTATTGCTCTAAATGCTCTGATTTGATGATCGATGCTTTGTTTTCTACAGGAGGATCATCATCACCTTTTGTTGTGCTTTTATTCATCCAGTTTAGGACAGAACTCTTATTTCTATGTAAGATCGACTTGAGTTCATTTCTCAGAGAATGCTGAACGTACAGCGACGTAGATCATTAAGATGCGTCGACATTAGTGTGACAATATAATCTGAGAGCTTCTCACGGGCTCATTTGTTTCCCGTATCACCTCACTGATGAACACACGCCCACCATCACAGCTAACGGGGTGCTTTCATCTTTTAAAGCTTCTTTTACCTTCTGCTGTTCTAATGCATCTAAAGGTAAACACGAGCAGAACGGTGTGAGAAACAAAGAGTGGTGTCTGCACCTTTGTGTGACTATATTTAAAGTATGAATAATTCTGAATGTATTATATATTGTGCCGTCTACCACATGTGGTACTTGTATTGTTATTCTTCCCGTCGTTGTCCTCAGAATGAAGAACTTTCTGGTTGTTCTCTGTGGACGAGAGTTTCTACTGAACCTCCGACCACAAAGACGCCTTCTTTAGGACCTCCTCAGAGATGGAGGCGTGGCCTGAGCGCACCTGGATCTGCAGCGGGAGGTTGGCGCTGACGGTGTAGAGCAGCAGCTTGGTGGGTTTCTCTCTGCACATCAGAACCAGCTCCAGGTCCAAGTCCCCTTTGATCAGCAGGCCTTTGGCCACCAGGCCGACGCGCGTCACCCCGCACAGCGCCGGCGTCCGGTCGGGCCTGAAGGACACGAACACACATTGTGTTTCGAAATGGACAAACGATGAACCCTCTGACCTACAAGGCGGTCATGTTGTTCTCTCTGTGGTCTTGATCTTCACTGTAGTATAAAGTCCTGCTCCTCTGTGGAGACAGAACCATCATGACTAGAAGTAGAGAGAACTAGAACATGACTTTAGTGCAGAATAACAGTTACAATGACATCAATCAACAACAAGAAAAAAACAAGTTGAATTTTTTATTCATTTTACAAAAATTGGAAAACAATGGAATCTATACATCCATCATTTAGTACGTGTCCACAAGTGTTAAAAATGTTGGAAATAAATTGAGGCTCTACGTATTTTATATATTAAGCTATTCACATGTTTACAGCCTCTCCACTCCTCTCCTCTCCACTCCTCTCCCCTCTCCCCTCCTCTCCCCTCCACTCCCCTCCCCTCCTCTCCTCTCCCCTCCTCTCTCCCTTCCTCTCTCCCCTCCTCTC